TTACATATATATATACACACACTAATTAAATTACAACCACAATTAAACATATCATCAAGTAAATGAGCACAAATAATGATGTATGAAATGCTATAAACCCATAACATAGTCCCCGTGCTCAACGACTCCGGTAGTAGGTCCCACCTAGGACTTTTCGGTCCGAAAAAAAATGCCGAAATGACAACCAATGTATTTTTAAGGGTCTTGAACACAAGAAAATGTCCCAATTAACTCTTAAACACACTCGGCACATCCCACGGTGTCCGGCACGCAGAACAAGACAAGACGGAAATGACTTCGAAAAATCAAGAAAAAACCCAGAAAATAGAAAATGAGAAGAATCACAAACATTACATAGCTACAAATCTATTTATCGTTTTTATTTTATTTTAAATTTTTATGATAAATTGATAGTATAATAAAATTAAGGTAAATAATATAATTAATATTTACATAAGAGAAAAAATAATAAAAATAATTTAATAAGAAATGAAAATTTTATTGAAAAAGGGTAAAATAGTCTTTTGTGATGAATTTGATCTTAATTGTAACAAATCAATAGTTCAGGAAGATAATTTTTAATTCGAAGAAATTATTTGCAAAAGGACAATAGTTTAGGGAAGTTTTTTACACTTCACCCTGAAGAATATACAACTATACATAATCTTTTTAAGAGAGAGAGAGAGAGAACGGTGAAGAAAGAGAAATACATTGAAGACGTGTTCTTCATGTGATTTGATTCCGTGAGAAATACAAATAATAATATTGGAACTGTGGCATGTTAAAAGCAAGGAAGTAATAAAAATATAAATTACAATTAAATCTCTAAAGCCTAAGATATAATCAAGCGAGGAAAGAAAGAAGGTCAAAATAAAGACTATACAATTGTATATAATCTTTTTCACAGAGAGAGATTGGGGAAGAAAGAGAAATACATTAAAGACGCGTTCTTCACGTGATTTGATTTCGCGAGAAATAAAAATAATTATATTGGAACTCTACCATGTTAAAAGAAGAAAGAGAAATACATTGAAGAATTGTTCTTCACGTGATTTAATTGGGCGAGAAATAATAATAATAATAGAATATTGGAACTGTACCATGTAAAAAGTAATATAATTTTAAATAGCGTACTGTGTTAAAAATAATATAATATTGAAATTGTGTTGAGAAAAACTAAGATAATAATCATGTGTAATTCATGTGTGATTAAAATACTTACATACAGGTCATAAAAATGAATGAATACAACACCCCATGTGTGTTTTGTTTTTTTTGGAAGTTAACCCATGATGATATTTGTTTTCCAAGAAGGAAAGCCGGACTTTGATGGTCATTGGTCTTTTCCCTTTTCTCAGGTTATATTTCTGGTGTTTACAAGATTCTCTTCCAGTTCTCTCTTTCTATTCAACTAGGCTTTAAGATCTTTTATATTTCATTCTTTTTTAATTTATAAATGGACCTTGTATAATATATTTTAAAGGATAAATTGTAATAAACCCTTTTTTTACTATACCTCTATTAGCAGATAACCCCCTTAAAATATTAAAGATGCATTTAACCCCCTCAACTTAAGAGCTTGGTGGCAATTTATCCAATCCGACCACTGCCAAATTTTTGGCCATTAAATTATACCATATTTAAATTAAATGATCATCCAACCCTATCATACAAAAATACCTTACCACCCTTATATTATTCAGATCGCTAGGCATTCATCCCAAAATCCCTAATTCCGTAAATCTACGGATCTCTCCATCCTCTTCACCCAATCTTCTCTCTCTTCTCTATCTCCATTGAAGACCAAAAGAGCATCATCTCTACACCAAACCGAGAGCGGCGTGAACTTGGGCGACAGCCTTGATCGGAACACCACGGCGATTTTTGTGTCGCCGTGAAAGAATATTTCTAGGTTGTTTTTGTGACCTGGTTCTCACCGTGGATGGTAGCGAGCTTTGGGTTGCTACATGTTGGAGGATGGGGTCACTACTGTAGCAACCCAGCAAGCTATGGAGGACAGCGACGTCGCCGTCTATGGGATATACCAGGTCGCTGCCGGAGTCCTGATTGAAGGAGAATAAGGTAGCAACCGGCGTGATCTAAGATAAAAGGGGATCGTCACCTGAGAATTTCAGCGACGCAAACTCGAAAAAGGTTTAGAACAACGACCTACCGTCCGGTGAAGTTTAGTCCAGACCCGAGAGTTTTAGTTCAGAACGGGAACGTCATAGCTCAATCCGGTGAGTTACAGTATAGACCCAACCCCTAAATTGAACTTTGAATTTCGATTTCTTGTATTTCAGCATCATGGCTCGAAATTGGCTAATTTCATAAGAGACCGAGACGAGGTGGATGTTAAAGAACGAGGTTTTTCCCGTAGTGTTCCCTCACCAATCACTCCACCTCATCTCCGTGTGTCCACCAATATTGATGACGGCGATGGTTGCAAGCAAAACTCACTGATATTTTACATATACACAAACCTTAATAATATCATTGACGATTGAAGCTCTGGACTTTGTCGTTCTCTCCCGGCAGCAGTCATTCATCTGGAACAGAGTTCCCAATAAAAAATTTTGTCACTAAACCCAACCGCAAAACTCCATGAAAATCATTATCAAGTAAACCCAATCGTTGTCGCCGCTGCTTCGCCTTCCTCAATCTGCTAGAGAGAACTTGGTTGGGTTGACTTCTATTTCACACACACTGTCTCTCTGTGTATATATATATATGGCTTGTATTATCTTATACAATTGATTTTTATTTTAAGTTACTTGAGTTGTCACCATGTAATTGGTTATTATATTTATTTAAGTTGCGGAAGGAAATGTTTTTATGGGAGGGGTAAAATAGACTTTTCAAATTTCTGGTGATAGGAGATGACCGGAAAAACCAAGACTATAGTTGAGAGGGGTTATTTGCAATTGGAATATAGTTGAAGGGAGGTTTATTGCACTTTATCCTATTTTAAATTATAAATTTATAAAAGTTATTGGAAAGTTGAGTTCAACTTTTGACACCTCGTTCTGATCCTAACTCTGTATCATATACATGCCATTTGTGCATTTTATATTTTTAGAAGGTTAGAATTAAGAATATATATATTTTTTGAAAACCTAATGTCCAAAGTCCCGAGTAATCTACAGGATCTGTGTAAGGTGAACCTCCCACATGGATCGGAGAATTATGTCCAAGGTCGTGGTCCCAAAAAATTCTTGTACATAAGTGGAATCGAACTTGAAATCTTAAGCTTCATGAGGCTTCAGACCCAAATCTTTTCCAACTACATCAACCCTTTTAGGGTTAGAATCAAGAATATTTGAGTTGAAGAATTCTATTTAGACCTACTTTTCAAGCGGAGGTGTTTAGTTGGAGTTTATATTCATGTGATTTAGTAAATGGAACCATTCTTCTTCTTTTTCTTCTTCTTTTTTTTTTTTAGTCATTCAAAGGCACAAAGACTTCAAGTCAAGATGGTAGTATAAAGGCATAAAACTAAGCCAGAAAAGACATACAAATCTTGAAGTAAAGCAAATAAATTAAGAACAGGCTCCAAATTTGTGGAAGAAACAGAGCCCAGCACTCTACAAATGAAATCATCATGGGAGAATGCATCAAACTGGAGAGACTGAAAGGTCTGACCACTAGTACGACAACCACTCCAAAACTACAACCGCAAGACATTCCGACACACAAAACCCCGTATAAGATCCAATCAAGGAGAAAAAGATCAAATGGAACCATACTTAATTTATTCATTGTATGAGATAAAATTTTTATCAATTAGATTCAACTTTACAAAATCGAGTAGAATAGCATTGAAAAACTATAGGAAAATATGCTTGGTTGTTGGCAATTTTTGGGAACTATCTTATTAAAATTTAGCAAAAAAATGGTTTGTTTTTAGAAAATTGTCTGTAATGATTATCCAAAAATATTTTCTATATTCTTAATTTTTAAGAATTGTTGTTTGTGTGACAAACCAAGCAAGTCCTAATTAATCATTTTAGTTTGAACAGGCAAAGATAACTCCAAGACGAGATTATACAATGAAGGCCTAAACAGGTAGAGTAGAATAACTATTTGTTAGCTAGTCAAGCCTAATTGAGCCCAATTTTGGATTATTGCATTGAACCATTTAAAAATATATTGCTTTCAAGATTTTCTTATAGTTTTTCGATCTCTGTCACCCTAAAACTTACTAGTAGTTTCATCTCACAGATGCACCAATTTTTCCTAAATCTCATACATGCACCAATTTGCCCTAAATGGACACTTGAACTCTCAACAATGCATTTCTGAAGAAGAGAATTACCACTTGCTCTAAACCCTTAAATTAGTTTAGACTATATGTGTTGTATAACATAGTAATAAATTCATCTGAAATAAATGAGTTTTTTTCCCGGAGTTTCTTATTCTTTTTGTTTGTTTGTTTTTTATTTATTGATAATATTTGCTAATTATACATGTAGTGAAATGAAAAAAGAAAAAGAAAAGAAAAGAAAAAATTAAAAGAGTATGTCACTGAAAGGAATTTTGAAAGCAACTAAAATTAAGATACAAGAGATAAATTTGGTGGTGCTTCCTTTCTAGTAGTAATAACTTCTTTATCTTCATTCACTGGTTAATTGGTATAATTTGTTCAAATTTTGATGTATTGAAAAAAAAATAAATAAATAAAGAAAAGAAAAGATAAGTTAATCATACAAAAAGATAAATTTGGAATCTACTAAATTTATCCTAGTTTCATAGTGGTGAGAAACTATTATTGAATCAAAACAGCTAGGACCATGTATATATCTTTTTGTTAGCAGCAATAACATTTTTTCTGTGCCAATTATTCCAATGGTTTCCCCTTTTCCAGGAGTAACATCTGTTTTTTCCATCCATTTGTTTGCCTAAAATTCAGCCACATTTAGCTTTCAGATAAATATATATATATATATAAAACTTCATAGCTGCACTTTGTTTCTTAGAGGTCACAACCATGGCTTCTTCCCATAAAATATTTGTCACTTTCATTTTCTTGAGCTCAACCCTAGCTTTTGCACAGACACCACCACCACCACCAGCAAAACTTGTGTATGGCTGTGATGTCGATGCGAATCCAGAGCTGGCTAAGTTTGCCTTCTGTGACCAGAAGAAGCCGATTGCCGAGAGAGTGGCGGATTTGGTGAAGAGGATGACATTGCCGGAGAAAATTTCAAACTTGGTGAGCAGAACAGGGGATTTGAGTAGAATTGGATTCCCATCATACGAGTGGTGGTCAGAGGCCTTGCATGGAGTCTCCAACACCGGTCCCGGGACACGTTTTGTTGATCCTGTTCTTGCAGCTACTAGTTTCCCTACACCTATCACCATGGGAGCTACTTTCAACGTTTCGCTGTTTGAAGCCGTTGGAAGCGTAAATTACCGAACTCATTACTCATTCTAATATGGTTGGAAAATGATTCTTACACCGAATACTTGCAGTAAATTGATAGGCCTATTACTTTTAATTGGTCATTTATGCAATAAATAAGTAAGTTAGGCTCTCTACCTATTTGTATTTAGCATAAATAACTGATAAAAAACTATTCGGTTAGACAATTCACTGCCAGTGTTCGTTGTAAGTATCACTCGTCAATATGGTTTGCTTAATTTTGACATGGTCATTTTTAAAGATAATTTGTCACTACTTGTGCAGGTGGTTGCGACTGAAGCCAGAGCAATGTACAATGTTGGTGTAGGTGGTCTGACCTATTGGTCCCCAAACATCAACATATTCAGAGACCCGAGATGGGGACGAGGCATGGAAACTCCGGGGGAGGATCCATTGCTGACAAGCAAATTCGGAGCAGCTTATGTTAGAGGTCTACAAAAGACCGATGAAAAAAACCCCGAAAAGCTCAAGGTCGCGGCTTGCTGTAAGCACTTGACAGCATATGATGTAGATGATTGGAATGGTGTTACTCGATACAAATTCAATGCTGTGGTACGTATATTTTCAATGATTAGTTATGTTTTGTTTTGTCTATGTGACATATATATGTATGTGTTTCTTCATTAATCATTTTTCATTTGTTGTGGTGATGAGTTAGGTATCAAAGCAAGATATGGAAGAGACATATCAGCCCCCATTCAGGAGCTGTGTTCAAGATGGGAATGCCGCCAGTGTCATGTGTTCCTACAACCAAGTTAACGGCATACCAACCTGTGCTGACCCTAAACTACTGAAAGATGTAGTCCGAGGCCAATGGAAATTAAATGGGTAATTCAATCATTTATGCTATCTCCACAAGCAGTAGTGTTATCATCATCAAAATGTCACAAATACGCGGTTTTTTTTTTCTTATGCTGCAGATACATAGTTTCGGATTGTGATTCAGTGGATGTGTATTTCAAAGACCAAAACTACACTAAAACACCAGAGGAGGCTGCAGCTTTGGCTATAAATTCAGGTGACTACATTTTGACATTACTGCCTTGGTTGTATTAATGACATGGTATCACCAACTGATTAAATACCGACACATAGTGACCCACTAGAAAATCACTTAAATAGTTGCGCACAATAAATGTTTATTAACTGTTTTAATCCAACAGGGTTGGATCTGGACTGTGGAGACTTCCTACTCAAACACACCGAAAATGCAGTGAAAGCTGGATTAGTAAAGGAGCCAGAAATTGATAGGGCTATCACAAACAATTTAGTATCATTGATGCGACTTGGGTTCTTTGATGGACACCCCAGCAAGAGTCCATACGGGAAGCTAGGCGCCAAGGATGTGTGCACCCCAGCGGTCCAGGAAATGGCTCGTGAAACGGCTAGGCAAGGAATTGTGTTGCTGAAGAACAATCCAGGCTCACTTCCTCTAAACCCCTCTGCTATCAAGAACTTGGCAGTAATTGGGCCCCATGGCAATGCCACAGAACCCATGATAGGCAACTATGCAGGTATACTGACACTAATGCAAAATAACATAGCAATCTTGAACCCCGAATCCTCTCCTGTGTCGTTTCAACCTGTTGTCTGTACTGTGCCTTTACTTCGCTTATGCAACTAATTCACTTTTGAGTCCGTTATGCAACAACTGCGTTGCATCGTTATTTCACAATGTTGCATTTTGTCACAAGACTGTTCCTAAGCATCTCTACTGTCTAAGTATTTGAATTTCAAAATCACCACTTATCGACATCCTGAATCATGTTTAGTTAATACATTGCAGGCATTCCTTGCTCTTATGTAAGCCCCCTGAAAGGTCTGTCAGAGTCGGTAAAAACTACGTATGTGCCTGGCTGCAATGTACCATGTGACGCGCCACAAATTGATGAAGCTAAGAAAGCAGCAGCCGAAGCAGACGCTGTTGTTCTGGTAGTGGGTGCCGATCTATCTATTGAAGCAGAGGCCAAAGATAGGGTTGATATTAATCTTCCAGGAAAGCAACCACAATTGATTTTTGAAGTTGCGAATGCAGCCAAGGGACCTGTCATTCTTGTTGTGATGTCTGGAGGTGGCATGGATATTCAGTTCTGTAAGGATAATAACAAAATACCAAGCATCCTTTGGGCTGGTTACCCAGGTCAACATGGTGGTGGAGCCATTGCAGATGTGATCTTCGGCCGTTACAATCCAAGTATGTCTGCTACACTCTTCTTTATTTTTGCAAATTACTTATCCCAACTTCCATTTGCTTTTGAATTCACTTATTGTTCCCAGAGCTCAATTACATACCCAAAAAAAGAAAGAAAAAAGAATGGGGTTCAATTAATTTTCTATTAATGATAAGTGACAACCAAGGTTGTTAAAATCGGGATTTTAAGTAAAATCGTTTTGGACTCCGTAGAATCGGAATCGTAGAATCGGATCGTAAATCGTAAGATTCTACCAAAATGTAAAAAAATAATTAAAATTAGTTACTTAAACAATAATATGTGTAAAATATAGCCATAATAAGGCCAAAATATCAATAATAATAATAATAATAATAATAATAATAATAATTCTAAATTTGAATATAATATAAAATAAAAATCAGAATGGAAAAATAATTCCAACCAAAGTGTGATGGGCATTTTTTTTGGTGGAAGGTTATAAAAGTTTTATAAATAATAAAGATATATATGTATACAAGCTATCGTTTCGGCTGAAGCAAACTGGCCCAAAGGCTCCAAAAAAAAATACAAATCAATGGCTTTTTTCCCTGAAATATTCTAGACATTGATAATGTACATGAGCTACAGCTTGGGCTGAAGCAAACTTTCCAAAGGCCCCAAAACAAATATACAAATCAGTTCTAGAGGAGTATAATGATGCCGGGCAAGATAAATCTTTAAGAGTGACTTTTCTTTTTCTTTTTTTAATTTTGGAATGTTAAGCAAATTTTATATAAAGAGAAATAATAATTACATTGTTCAGCATGGGCCAAAGCTGGCCCAAAGCCGAAGAAACCCAAACAACTAGGTAACATGAGCCACAACCTTAAGCCCACTTATTGTGAGGCCTAGTAACCCTAGCAATCCTCCACCAAAAGAACAGGTGAGAGCTTGAGAGGGAGGTAGCAGCCAACAACGATGGAATATTTCACCAAAAGAACAGATGAGAGGAGCCGGACAACAGCGACGGAAACTACCACATGCTTGTCGGCAACCAAGAAAAAGAAAAGAAAGATGCCTCCTATATATCATCATCACTTAGTCCGATGGTTTAGGTGGCGGCTAAGATGCAACGAAGCCATTTTCCCATTCCTTCATAGCTAGGTAAGCCTCCAATCGCGTTCCTTTGCAAGATGCTTTCTTATTTTGTATCCCATCCATCAAAAGAAGGAACCAGCCAACAAAAAAAGGTCTCAAACAAGAAATCAAGTAGAATCGATGGAATCGCATAGAATCGTGCGATTCTATGATTCTACCAACGATTCTACCGATTCTACCCCCGATTCTACCAATTGAGCGATTTTGCTTAGATTTGGATCGATTTTGAGTTCTGAATCATAGGATCGTGCGATTCTACGACTCAAAATCGCGATTTTGATAACCATGGTGACAACTGAAGGGAAAATGTAAGCGGTTTAAATATTTTTAGGATCTGTAGTAATGATTTTTATTAAATCAACAATTATTGAAAAAGATCTGACAGACAATTTTCTATCATCAGTACGAGGGTACTTTTCACTTTGCCCTTCAACACCACTGAAGCTTCAGCTTTACGTAGACCTAACAATGGATTGGATTTTTCAATCCGATAATCCGTTAGCGATCCGAATCCAATAATCTGTTAGCTAAACAAATCGGAAATGAATTTGGTCAATCAAGTTTGAATCTGATCCGTTGACAGAGGTGGCAATTCGTGTTTGTGGGTTATAATCATGTCGTGTCGATGTAAGGGTATTATACTAAACAGGTAACCCAAACCCGACCCATTTAATAATCATGCCAAGAACTCTCAACATTAATCCAACCTGTTTCGTATTAACCCGTTTAGTGAACTGTTTATCAAAACGAGACATTTAATATTTAATTAAATAATTGAAAAAATTTGTCACAAGTAACCCAAATATTCAAAATAAGAAAAATCATAAGGTGTAGACAATGTTTATGTTGAAATGACTTAATTATTTATAATAATGGGTTTAAACAGGTAACATATTATATATGTCATATTCACGATTATAACATGTTGAGTTAAATGAGTCATAAACGGGTTACACTGGTTGAACCCCTCAACCCTAACCTAACACTATTAAGTAAATAGGTTAATCGTGTCAACCTGTTTATGACCCGAACCTGTTTAAAGTCAATCCAAACTCACTTATCTCGTATCATATTCGAGTCGTGTTGGCGGGTCGTGTTGTAATTTTTCACCCCTAGTTGATAGGCCTACCTCTACGACTCCAAAGGCAAGTTTATAGAATCCTCTCTACCACCCTAGTTATTCCGTTACGTATGGAAAAAATAATAATAATAATAAAATAACGTGATAGACATAGTTAACGTATGTAAGGGCTTCCTTATCCCAACTCTAATTGGATAGAGCATAACTCTATCATATCTAATTAATTACAATAATCATCAAAATCTTATTGTTATTGAACTCTAGGATTTTAAATTATAAAAGACCATATCATATTAAATAATTACATTGAAACCCCTCCACTACCCAATATCCACATGTATCCCCAGAAAAATTAAATATTGTCATAAAGGATTACTTATATCTTATTTTCCTTGAGTAACCAATTTAAACCTTATGATCATTGAATCAAATTCTTTACAAAGAATTTTCAAAAATAAATATTTTTTCTAACTAAATAATAAAAAAATAATTTAGTAAACATTTTAATAAAATGTTCTATCTAGGTTTGATCAAACTTATTAAATTACATTAAGGGAATATTCTCTTACTCTTATAAAGAATATAGATTCCATGTTGAGTGTTTGTGTTCCCACAACTCTAAAATTAACTACCCAAGATACCGTGGGATTGATATTGAAAAATCTAACACATTGGTTAATCAAAGTGACCACAACCGAATCATTCATCCACTAACCTTGCAGAATTTAGAGTTTAATGCATTTGGTAGATAAGAATCACATCAAAATAGTGATAGAAAAGTTCAATGTAGTCCCAGCACACAAACATATTAACTTAGAGTGAACTACTCCAAAGGTCGAGACAAACCATCCTAACTTTTATCACAAACTATGAACAATATCAAGGGTCAAGAAACTGGTGATCTCAAATCTCCCATGTGTAAATTTCATTCACACACTTAAGTCACCTATAATGCAACTTGAGGTTTATGATGTATCTCATGCCAAAATATGAAAACCCAATGCATGAATATTTGATTTAATAATAAGTCATGTTTATTAATAAAATGTTGAATATAAACATAAATACTTGGATTTTAGAGCACATAATCACAACAATCTCCCACTTGCACTCAAAGTCAATTACTATTACATCTGATACCTATCACTTCTCTAGGAAACTTAAAAGCCCGAGTACGTAGAGTCTTAGTGAAAGCATCTGCAAGGTTATTCGCAGATGCAATCTTAATGACAACAATATGAACCCTCTATCATAAGCTGATACTTTCACTTAATATGCTTTGCCTTCTTATAGAGATTGTGCCATTGGTATCACTCTAAACCCTAAGAGAAATATCTCAAGCCATACTACCTCTTTAGCTTCTTCTAAAGCTGCTATGTACTCGGCCTCCATGGTGGATTCTGTGATGTAAGGTTATTTCATGCTTCTCCAACTAATGTTTCTTTCATCAAAGATAAACACATATCCAGAGGCAGATCATCTAGAATCCTTATATGACTAAAATTTAGAATCTATATAACCCATTGGAATTATATCATCACCCTTATATAGCAATTTGTAATCTCTGGTTCTCCTTAACCGTTATCTAATGCTTTTGTCCAAAGTGGGACAGATATCTGCTGACCATGATAACTACAAAATAGATATCTAGTCTAATACAAAGCATAATATACATATATAAGGTTTCTTAGTATTGGAGCGTAAGGGATTGGCTTGATGTGCTCTTTCTCCTCTGGTGTCGTAGGACACTGTTCTTTGGAAAGAGCAATTCCATGTGTGAAAGTTAAGAGAACTTTCTTGGAATTGTGTATATCGAACTTGACTAGAATTGTATCTATATAGGAAATCTGAGATAAGTTTAACATTCTACTCTAACGATATTAGAAAAAAAAAATCCTTATAATGTAACTGGGTTTTCCAAGTCCTTCATATCAAACTAATTGAATAAATAAATTTTTACAGTTGACAATATTCCTACATAATTTTCAATGAGTAGTATGTCACCAACATATTAAACCAAAATCACCACCACGCTTCCCTCACACTCCTTATATACATAAGGCTTGTCTAGATTTTAATCAAATCCAAATGATTTGACCACCAGATTAAACCAAATCTTTTAACTACAAAATGCTTGCTTAAGTTTTTAAATAGACTTATGCAAATTGCATATCATATGCTCTTGTCCCTTTTCTATGAACCCATCTGGTAGCATCATATAAATGCCTTCCTCTGTAAAATCTCGTATTGAAATGAGCTGCAATGGATAATAGAATAAGCATAAACTTAAGCATGGCTATTGGTGCAAAGGTCTTCTCGTAATAAATACTCCCTTTTTGGGTAAACTCTTTTTGCAATAAACCTCGATTTGAAGGGTTTAACCTTCCTATCCAATCATATTTTTCTCTTGTAAACCACATGCACTTTATGGGTTTAATGTTTGTAGGTGGCTCAACAAGCTCCTAGACTTGATTGGAGTACATAGACTCCATGTCAACCGTCATAGTAGTCAGCCAAGTCTCGAGTTATAATTATCCACAACCTCTTCATTGCTGGAGGGATCTTACTCTTCTAGGATCAATTTGTAAGACTCTTCTAAGAGTGTCAACCTATTAGGTGGCCTGATAACATTCCTACTACGTCGAGGTTCTAGTATAATAAGTGGTTTTAAAGCTGTGATATCACGTGTCTCATTGTATGTGATACCTCCGAATTTCCACATGTAAGTTGGCTAGGTCCACACCCGAAAACACGGGGAAATAAAAAACAATATGGCAATAAACAAAGGGGTATTACATTATATACACAACCGTCATATCCACTCCTCGATTGATTGGTATATCCATCATTTCATCTAAAACAACTCTGCTTCAAGGCTGGGGATTCATTATATAACCCTCATCGGGGAAAACAACATTTATGCTAACAAACACTATTTTACATAGGATCATAAAATGAATAACCTTTTGAACGTTTTAGGTAGCCCACGAATAGAAAAACATTTGATATCGATCCTATCATCTCAAGATTTCCTCTCAGCATGTGTCGGGCATCCATATACACAAATTTTGTAAACTAGGCTTGCATCCGGTCCATAACTCCTTGGAAGTTTTAAGAATTGCTTTAGATAAGGATAAGATTCGAAGATAAACCACCATCTCTAGGGCATGGCCCTAAAACAATACCTTATCGATCTTGCCATGTTTAGGAAAGTTTTATTCCTTCTTTTTGCTGCACAATTTTGTTGTGGTGTGCTTGGTACAGATGTCTGAGATATAGTTCATTTTTCTCATAAATGATCCTTAAATCCATATATGAGAGATGTATTTTGTTTCCAGATCCGATCGAAGAGTTTTTAGGCTTTTACCCATCTACCTTTTGCTTTCTGTGTAAAACTCTTTGGATTTATCGAAGGACGTAGACTCTTGATGCATAAGATAAGCATAACCATATCTTAAGCAGACATTAATGAAAATGATGCAAATACTTATATCATCTTCCAGTCCTGACACTCATAGGACCATTTGCATATGTATGTCACAACTCTAGTACATCTTTAGCTCTGTGCGCCTTAGCTGTGTCTTTTGGTCATTTTACTGTCTAAGTAGAATTCGGAACCAGAAAAATAAATTTTCCATTTTTCTTTAGCAAAACTTTTGAATCAAATCGTACTGAAAAATCAAATTTTAAAATAGCTGAAATAGAAATCAAGTTTCTTATACTTTCTAGTACATCAAGGTAATCTTCGAAAAATAAATTCCTACCATTTATACTAATACTGTTGCTAGCTTCGCTTGTGAAGCAAGATGAAGATAAATCTCCTTATCACTCAATTTTTTGGTGATCTATAACCCATGCAATGAATTGTAAACATGATTAGTGGCTCCAGAATCTACACACCCAGTATCTTTAGATCCAACCACATAACATGTCTTGTCAGTGAATGAATGAAGCATATTTTAAGGTGCTTCTTTGTTAGATACACTGAACAATTCATTTTCAGTGTACTTCCTTTCCATAATGGAAACAGTTTTCTTTGGGCCTAACTTGCTTCTTACCCTTAACCTTAACAATTCCAACACTAGAACCAACTTCTTTGTGGTCTTGGGTGTCATTAAAGCTAGGCATAGAAGAGAACTCTTAAGAGAGCCCAATGTGAAGATTTCTTTTACAATTAGTATAGTTTGGTATTGTTAATTTGTTGTCCTTAAGTATAAAAGCAAGTGGATTGAAAGCATTCGACATTTGAAATTTATAAACATTTATGCATAAATGAAAATGCATATATATTCAAAAGCAAAAATTAAACTTTAATTTTCATATGGTCGCTCAATGGATCTCTCTAAACCACTTATGCACTGAAAACATCGATAATCACAATCATTGTAGATATATATTCATTTATACTAGAGCTAATATGGACATAGCACTACCGAAAGATCATGTCACTACCTTGATTAGACAAACAATTTCCACAATATCCTACTATCTATGCATCTCATGCCAAATGAAAATGGCAACTAATTAACCTTGGCCTCTAAGTGAGAATACCTTGTTGATGCGGAGTGTACTCCCACTTAGTTAGGTATATATCATATTGTAGAAGTAGTGCAATTGAATAGGGTACGTCTTCTAAGGTAATTGTCCACATTCGATTGTCGTTGGTAGTGAGGTATTTATTTCACCTTTGCTTAATTTCTTGAGCTATAAGCTAATCCTACTCTTTTCACAAAAATATTTGAAAATATATAATTTTTTTAATTTTCAAAAAATCAAATTTTCGAACATAATTTTGAAAGTGTTAATTATCCAAAAATACCAAAGTAACTAATTATACTTTTGTTTAGTTGAAAATTAATAAACACGTAACTAGAGTTATTCATAGATTAAGTGTAGCTGTCAAGCATATAACATCACGTGAATATGCAGACAAATAAAAATCATGTTATTACTTACAAAAAAATTAAAAAATTAAAAACAAAAAATCACGCTACAACAAAAATGGTGCAAATCCCCTCTCATGGCTGGTTAGAAACCATGATCTTTTTATGCTTTCAAAATCCTCCATGAAAAGCTTCAATTTTTATCTTGTTGAATCTTTTCTTCAACTCTTCAAAAATTTCGACCCTAAACGAAGAGAATGTACTATAAGGCTTTCTCTTATACTCAATTAGAGCTTGCAAATATTTTAAACAAAATAAAAATATATTACTATAAGGCTTTGTCTTATACTCAATTAGAGCTTACAAATATTTTAAACAAAATAAAAACATGTAAGTCCTATTTGGCGATAAGGACACCAACCTTTATTTGACTAGCCCTTTACAACGCCACCTCTAATAAAAAAAAATTAATTGTTTTACTTTCCATGATAAATCACATTATGGTAAAATAAATCAAAACAGAACTATGAGAGAGAGAAGTAATTAGCATGCAATCAAGGTTAAATATATACAAATACATGTATATATCCATGTAAAAAATTTAATTATAAAACTGATTGCATCTAAAACAAATATATTGTATACATTGCGTGAGAATGAGTACAACATGTATTGTATGAACAGAGCACATGATATAATTTTCAACATACAAACAAATAGAAGAGTAAAGTACATTATATTCATTAGGAGATTTTCATTTACTCCTACTCATTGTTCAATTCGACAAACATGCTTCAATATATATGCTCATTATTTAAAATTATGAAATCGAGAACATCACTAGGCTTCTCTTATATTTAAAATACATGAATTGATGTTTAACTTAACATTGCCTTCCAATGCAGGTGGAAGACTACCGATGACATGGTATCCACATACATACGCAGAACAGCACCCCATGACAAACATGAACATGAGAGCAGACAAGGCCACCGGATTCCCTGGCCGGACCTACAAGTTCTACACCGGACCAACCATCTACTCATTTGGGGATGGTCTAAGTTACACTCCTTTTGTTCACCAGCTAGTTTCAGCACCAAAGGTTGTCAAACTTCGCTCAGGTAAAAAGAGTGATCTTAAGTCCGTTGATGCTACCGGAAAGGTTTGTAAGAAGTCATCTTTTGAAATCCGATTGAGAGTTAAGAACAAAGGGAATATGGCTGGAAGCCATATTGTTTTGTTGTATTCGACACCCCCTCCTGTACATAATCCGCCACTGAAGATGTTGGTGGCCTTTGATAAGGTCTTTTTGAAACCAAAGGGACAAGCTGTAGTAAAGTTCCGTCTAAATATGTGCAAGGACATGACTGTGGTTGATGAGGAAGGCAATAGAAAAGTTGCCGTGGGACAATATCAACTTCAAGTGGGAACTGAGAAACACACCATGAATGTGAAGCTCTAAATAGGATTCTCAAGAAAGGGTGGCTCAACCATAAGGCAACTAAGGCAGCCCGCTAAAGACCTTAATGTGAGAAGAGGCCTATAAAAGTGATCTCATTATATTTGTATTTATTTTATTGTAAATATGATAAATGTGTAAACACCACATTTTGCCACACACCTCATTTTGCTTATTTTTCATCATCTGGACTTCAAAAGGCCCATTAGTTAGTACAATCAGAGAGTCCCAGAGTCTCCATATATACCCCCAAAAGTGGAAATTTTCACTCCTAATCATTCTTAGTCGATTTTGCCACCCCGATTAAAAAAATTGCCCCTAATTAAATCGAGCCCCAATTGGGATTTTCACACTCCTAATTTCACTCTTGGTTAATATAAAGGAGTTTTGTAGGCTCCAAATCCACACCCAAAGGTGGAGTTTAATCATCTCACAACATTACAAATCATTTCCTTTGTTAGATTGGGTAATTGAGTCCAAATCGTGGCAAGATTTTGACTTGGGTTGCCCTAATTTTGACTCCGAGCAACATTGGAAGGTCATAATCCCTCATCAAATTCGATCAAGTGATTCAAAACATTAATTTTGATAATAATTTATCCAATTAAACCATTTGATTTTCAATTGGCATACACGATTGAGCAAATTTTGAAAAATCACAAAATTAGGGTTCTTGAACCCACGCTGCCCATTTTCGATTGCTTGAATCTTTATCTTCCATCATCAAACAATAAAATTGATCCTTCTATGGTAAAATTCAATTTATTTTACCTAGAAACCCTTAAGTTCCCCCTCTCAATTGGATTACTTTTATTGTTCGATCGATTTTCGGCCACCGGACTCATTTGATCATGGATACGAATTCCCAAAATCTTAAATTTCCACGTTTCCATCATAAAATCCTTAAAATAATGATTGATAGTTTCATGATAAAACTTAGGTCATTTTATGCACAAGCTCTCAAAATTTCACACGAAATGGGTTATTTTCACCGTTGGATAAAAAGGGGCCTCCAAGATGATCATTATAAGCATCAGTGAAAATTCTAATATTTTGATTCATTTTTTTTTTCTAGATAAATTCTGATTGGTTGGTCCCTAATTGGTCCTAGACCTTTATAAATAAATCCCTCCACCTAATTTTTGGAAGACGTTTTTGGAGTTGCTTTTAGCAACCTAAACAGTCCCAAGCCTCCAAACATCCTCTAAGCCTCCCCAACTCCATTCCAATCCTTCCAAACCCTAAAGCCAATCCCTCCTCTTCTAAAATAAGCTTGCAATCCTCCATTCAAGATGAATTAAGAAGAGGAGAATCCCCTTTTCGAAAAAGGAGTTTCCAACACTTGAAGATTTTAGTTGAAACAAATAGATCCGACGTAAGAAAGGTTTTTGTTCTTATTTTTTGAAGATCTAAAGTAAGGTTTCTCAATATTCTTCTTCTCTGCACTCCCTCTTCTGTAGTTAAATCTCAAGGTTTTTATTTTGATTTTTCCATTTTCTATCTTTTGTATGCACTCCCCTTCTTCTCTGCATTCCCCCTTGTGTGCCAGTACCTTTGGTTTCCAATCTTTTCATGGTAGGATGGAATGTTAATTATATGTCACATTGGCTGAATTGCCGGGGACCTTTGCACATGGCAAAATGGAGAGAGGGGTGACCTCTGTCCAAATTTTGTTAACCTTGCCTGGCCGATAGGCCCTGAAAAGTGATAAATATGCAGAACATGGTCCTAGGGCCAAACCTGCTATAAAACCTGTCTTCAAACATAATACAACTTCTCTAAATTATCATCATCAACATTTATAATAAAAGGATCCCATTCATTCCATTCATCCATGATGTAGCAACTTAAGTCCATTACAAGTTTTAATGGCCACTTTCAAAATACTAGAAATTACATCAAAATGATATACAAGGAACATGGTTACAATTACAAGCCACAAATTGCAAAATTTTGCAAATCATGCTAAGGCTTTACTAAAAAAAAATGGGATTTAATTACAAAAATATCACAACATCCCACTAATCCACCTAAGGTTGTGGAGGAGCATTGTCCACCACTTCCTTCCTGTGACCTAAAAATAATAATATGAGGGGTAAGCACAACGGCTCGGCAGGAAGTGCCTAAGACACACCAGTTAATGACCCAGTGAATCCAAATAAGGTATAGAATTAAGAACTACGGGATCATGCTATTTTTAGAGGGAAACACAACAATAACCAAATCAGCCAACCATATATAAACACAATGCCATACCAATGGGATGCAATGATATGCCGATATCACTCCCCATTTCCAAAACTTTTTCGTTTTTTCATTCCAAACCGTTAATGTAACCCGGCCCATAACAGCTCTATGGCGCTGCGAGAGAAGGATTGACTAACTATTTCTAACGACAAGGCAACTCCAGGGCGTCATTTAGGGCCTAGTTAGCTCAATCATGCTAGGGTCCCTTCCTAGTTCTCTCTGGATCACATTAATGCCACGGAACACTAGGCAGCTCCTAGGTGCCCAGGTTTTCACAAATCACTTTTCAAAATCTTTCCCAAATCGAATTTCTTTTCTTTTTAAAACAATTTTCCTATTTATTTCCCAATGTCATGCATGAATGCTTCATGTCGTACAATACCATGGTATTACAGAATTTTCATGAATTGCATTCAAACCTCAACAATATAGCATGCTTTGTAAGAAAATCTTAAAAATACACATCATGCTTTTATATAACAAGATCCAGCACATTAAACATATAAGGCATGAAATAGCTTCACTTAAGCATGCTTCTACACAACATAATAACCAACACATAATCATACACATTATTCACATCATAGAAAACATATATACAACATAAGGCTCATATCTCATGAATTTAATTAACAAAAAACAAAACATGCTTATATATCAAATTTAAAGAGAGAATTCACAAAAAATCAAAGAAATGGGCTTTAGGAAACCCTACCTTAATTGAAGAGCAAAACCAAGAAAACTCCTAATTTTTGAAATCACCGAAGTGCTCCAAATCAAGCTTTGCTCCGATCAAATCAAAGCTATCGTTGTGCTTGTTAACTTTGCCTTCAGTGGCAAAGTCAAATTTTCAATGGAAGAGGAGAGATCTAAGCTTAAGTTTGTGAAAGAAAAAGAAAAAAGAAAAGCCACAGAAAGAAGAGGAGAGAGTCACACAGAGAGAAGAAGAAATGGTCACTAAATGACCATGAGGTCATATATAATGGCCATTGACAATGGTGGGTCCCACAAAAATCCAAAATATCCCTTTTTGTCATCATTATATATATACACACCAAATACAACACAACCATACATCTAAACATATAACCACATAAATATACATCAAATAATAATGTATGAAATGTAATGACTCTGAAAAATAATCCCCGTACACAACAAATCTGGTTATAGGTCTCGCTCGGGACCTCCCAGCCTAAAAAATTAAAAAATGCCGAAATGGCCAACGATACATTTCTAAGAGTTTCGAACTCGAAAAAAAATGACCTAACCAATTCTCGGAATTCACCCGGCACACCCTACGGTGTCCGACAAGTAAAACGAGGGGAGAAGGAAAAAATCCCGAAAAATTGAAAAATTCCAGAAAATGGAAAATAGGAAAAATGGAAAATATTATACTTTAGGTATTTTACTCCGTCCCTAGGGGGAATTTGTTATCGTCCCTAGCAAAGGGTACCTCCTTGTGAGATATATTTTTATACATTGGCATATTTCAGTAACAAAACAAGTCTTAGTCGAGTTGTAATTTCAGTTACCATACCAGACTTGACATCGACTGCAGAATTCAGAGGTTGATCAAAAAAGGAAAGTACTATTGATCATCGACAAGGAAAGAACAACATTTTAGGCCTTTGTTTCCCACTTAGGACACAAATACCTATATGGTATATTTACAGAGTTCAAAAAATACAGAAAATCCAAGTTCAGGTTGGATTCAACCTAGTGGGACCCGGTAGGAGAATCTTTGAACCAGTAGCCAAAGTGTGATACACCCTAAATTTCGAAACATGGGTTGATCAGGTCCGCACACAAAGTCAGGGGATATCAGCCAATCAATAATAAACAAGCACAGAACACAAGAGGAATAATAAATAAATAAATAAATAACGCTGAAAGGAAAATCTAAATTAATAATTAAATAATAAATCCTCTAATACAGTAATCTCCAATAAACTCTCAGTATAGGAATAAAACCTCCAAAGTACAACTTGGGAATCCATACGGTGTGGACCCCTAATCAAAATCCCAACTAAAGACAAAATAAGTAAATGTCTAACTCAAAATAATAAATAATAATAAAAACATAGTGGAGGTCCTACGTCAATGACACCGGAAGAGTGATGAAGTCTGGCCTCTGCTCTGCATGAACTGACTCTATGTCTGGAACTGTCGAGGACCTGAAAAGATAACAACAAAGGTGGGTCAAAACCGACGAACAAGCCCTTTCTACTACATCCCAAACAGAGACCCGAGAAACGATACATCCTAGTCCGACTCATGCAATAACTACTGATGAGTACTGAAAAGTGCGTATTTAAACCCCTTAAGCTTAGGCATTCTAGTACCTTTATCTATCTTACTTTACCGTTTTAGATTGATTTCGTATTATTTCTATTTTCAGGCACTTATCCCGAAAATAAGCTAACTCAGCCAAATAAGAGCTTAATTGAAGCAATTCTGAGCAAATAAAGAAAGGAACAAAGTGGAGAAAAAAATAAGCAAAATGAAGTAAAGTAGCAAGTTCGATCGATCCAAGTCCAAGGTTCGATCGATCGAACATTGATCGATCTCAGCACTTCAGGATAGATCCAAGCCTTGACCCAAAGCACTTAAGTCCAAAAGTTCGATCAATCCAACATCATTCTTCGATCGATCGAACACCTTTGTCCTTATTCAAATGATTGATCCTATCCACGACTGTACCACTCACCAACCACTTTTGTCCTTTTTCCATAAATATCTCCTATAAATATCTCGGATTTGTCTTTTTCCAAAAAACTCAGCCAGTTGGATTGATTTAGCCTAAGTTCGATCGATCTCACTTACTTTCGATCGATCTCACTTACTTTCTGATAAGTGCTTAAATGTTGCACATTTCAGCACCTAAGTTAGGGTATTTCAGTCTT